CCCCGCAGGGCACAGGGACGCCGGGGCGGGCGGGGACGGTTGAGAGGGAACCTGCCCCAGGTCTGGGCCGCGCTCCGACCGGTCCCGGTGGGAGTCGTTTAGGGGTGCAGGGAACCGCCCCCGGCCGGCCGCCGGTGGGAGTCGTTCAGGGGCGCAGGGAACCGCCCCCGGCCGGCCGCAGGTGGGAGTCGTTCAGGGACCCAGGGAACTGCGGGAGCACCTTGAGCTAACCCTGGGAAGGGCGCTGGGGCGAGCCTGCTAGGTTCCGGAGATCCAGCCTGGGCCGGACAGAGCCTGTTCCTCCAGGGCCCCGCCGGTGCCACTGCTCATGCGTGGAGCCCCAGGTTTTCAGGTGCAGAGATTACGCCTCACACTGCGATCACTGGGAACCCAGGGTAGGATTGGGCGTGTGGATTTAACTTTTTTGGTATTTGGCCATGCTCTTACAGTTTGCAAACGAGAACTTATATTTTGTGGCGTGATAAAATCGGGCTTAAGCTTGTGTCTGTAAGTTTAGGAGTGAAGGAGTGAGAAATAATCTAGAAGCTCATCACTGAAGATTTTTGTCATCAGATCAGACTCCCATTGTTGGCTGAACCTAAATCAGAATAAGTTTTGCTCCAACAATTTCTCCCAAGATTGATTTTGAAAATACAGCAAATTTCGGTTGAAAAGGGAAAGCACTGCCTTCTGAGAAATGACAACCCTGCTTTGTGTATTTTAACTCATATATATGATTATTTTTATTCTTTGTGAGAGAGAAAAGTTGATCCCAATTGTATATGCTTAAAATATATTTCTGTAATTGTATTCTGTATTTATAATGCCTGTTCTATTTACACCTAATTCCTGGTGTCAGTATCCTTGAAAGTCTATTATAATATTAGTAACAGTGATTAAAAAACCTTTCCTGGGGGCCAGCAGGTAGCATGATGAGGGTGCTGGATCCCACATGGCTGCCTGCGCAGGTGGAGACCTGGACCTGGCGGCTTAAATCACGCTGGGCATGCTTGTGTGCGTGCCTGAAATCCTGAGAGGATTCTGGAGAACGGATTGTGGTGTTGCTGTCGCACTCTGGGGATGACTTCTCACTTTGCCTCTCTCTCTCTGGCAGCCGTACATGCCCTATAGCAAACTTAAAAAACGCAAAACAAAAAAACCTTTCCTGGAATAGAAAACCTATTGAGAACCGATTTATGGAGCAGGGTTGATTGAACAAGACTTGAAATGTAATGAGAGTGCTTTTAGATTAAGCATATTTAGTCTTCGAGTTGGATACCTAGGGAGAGTCAAGTGATAATGATGATAATAATGCTTGTAAAAATGACCTTACTGGGGGGAACCAGCAGTTAGCGTAATGGCTATGTCGCTGGACTCCCACGTAGTCGACCGCACTTCGCGTCCTGGACCTGGT